GGCCAGCACGGCACTCTTGGGGTTCTGGGGCCCATACAACATGCAGTATCGTGGAGCAAACTGGGGTGCTTGTGCTTCCCAGGTAGTTGCTTAGACTGCTGAGCTACATCCCTGGCCCCTTTTTCTCTGTTTTGAGACAAGGTTTCACTATGAAGTTCAGGCTGGCCTTGAACGCTCAGTGATCCTCCTGCGTCAGCCTCCAGGATGCTGGTATAAGCCATCATGCCTCACTAACTCGGTGAATTAAAAATAAGCTCTGAGCTCTCTATTTTGAGCAGCATTAGGCAAGTAAAAGCAGGTATATGAAAGTCAAATCCTCTCAAAGGTATATGATTTCTTTAACATAAAAGACATATTTACTAATGTTTCTGGAACTGGATATATCCTTATTTAAAAAGGTACCTCTTCATTTTTCTTTAAAATAAGTGTAAGGTCCACCACAAAAATAAGTACACCAAGATAAACATAGAAATTGGGACATTTGAAAGATATTAGCCCCAAACTTTCTGTCAGTGAAGACACAAAGAGACAGATGTTGAGTTGTACAGTTCCGGTGATGAGAATTGATAAAACAACTTTATTTTTCATGAAAAACCATTTTTTTCTTGCACTAAATTCTGAAGAAGTCTCTAAAATGAGGCCTTCTACACTAGACATTGTGTGGCCCAAGGCATAATGATCTTGACCTACTTTTTAAAAACAGTGAGATTTTATGTAAACAAAGTCAATCATATACTGTTTAAAGGAACCAACTAGGAAATATCCAAGACATTGGGGTTACTGAATCCAAATCTGTAGGCTATTTGGCCTAACTGTGTACAATGACAAAAATCTGGGATACAAAAGGAATATTTTACCAAAAATTTCTTAGACTATATCACCCTTAAATATCCTGATTTAAATTTTACAGAAATACTCAGAAATATATTCAAAGTAGTGAAAGAGACTTTATGGAAACGTGGGAAATAAAAGCAAGAAACCTGATCATACAATAGAGATGACACTCAGTGAGGACTAACTCTCCGTTACTTATAAATTTTTGCTTCTGTTATTTCTACCATTGAATTTAAGATCAGGAGCTTTAGAAAAATACATCTTTTGAGCAGTGAAAAACTGTTCTCAGAGAAGTACCTGAAGTAACTCGGGAATCCAAGCTACCCAATAGAATTGGTAACAATTTAATACACTATATTTACCCGAGGTTTAATTTAATGGCTTTACAACTCATAAAGTTCACCATTCAGTGAAAACTCTGAATCAAACTTATTAGGTTTTTTAAAAACATGTCCTTTTACATCTCACACTGAAGACCTTTTTGATTTGAATTGATTGGTAAGAGAGAATTGGTGAAAATGTGTAGAAAAGAATCATTATAGTCATTCTACTTCATGTATTATAGAAACTATTTGGAGCATGACAGAAATTTCTGCTGCTTAAGCAATCAAGATCTGTGAAGGACATGATAATGCCAGGGAAATAACTATGCATAAATGTATATCCTAAGATTTGTATGCATCAAGTGAAGCCAATTAGAAGTATTTGTGTTGGCATGGAAATTCATTCAAGGATAGTGTAGCATAATTAAGCATGAACAGATTTTGTAGAAGCAAAGGAAGAAAAGCAGCCAAAGTGAATGGTAGGATTCTCAAGTTTATAACATATGTATTGTGTTAAACCACTTCAGGGGAGTATCCCTTTGAATTTCTTAAAGTCAGCCAGAACCATATAATCTGATATTTTCATGTTTCATTCTACTTACAGAATCTTATAACTGTAAGAAATCTTAAGTTAATAGAAGAACTGAATCTGTGAGTGCTAGATTCATTTTGAAATACAGATTCCTCTGCTAAAAAGGCTGCACTTTTACAGTTATGTCTTATGAAAATATTATAAAAGTCTGTTGATGTGTTATACATTGTTGAATAACTGCATGTAAAAGTAATCACATTTTAAATGATATATTGTCTTCACATCTACCTACACAAAATGCAATAGAGGATTGTTATGTAATGTTTCAATTTTTAAACATTGCCCTGTGAACATTATCTTATATTAAACTTAAAAAATTATGAGAACAAAATTATCCATGTAAAAAATGTAGTTGTAATTGCTACCTTAACTAGCCATGCCTAGTCATTTGGGGAACCATGGATGCCAAAAATGACACAAATCCTACATACACTCCATGCCAATAAAACTACCTATGAAAATTTTAAAACTTCAACTGTGTTTTTGTGCTTTTTAAGGGATCCCCAAAGCCCATGTGTTCAAGACTCAGCCCCATCCTACAGTGCCCTCAGGAAGTGATGGAAACTTGAAGTGGTGCAGCATGGCAGGAGTGCGTTGCATCTCAGGGGCCTGCCCTTCAAGCAGCTATTGAAGCGGCATCTTCTGCTTTCTCCCATGATTCCCAGCCCTCCTGAGGTGAGCTGCTTTTTTCTACCACATCCTCTCTACCATGCACTGCCTCATCATAGACTTGAAAGCCATGGGGCCAAGTGCCCATGGGATGAAACCACTACAGCTCCATAGCAGCCAAAACTTTCCTTCTTATGATTTGATCACCTCAGGTGTTTTGTCATAGTGATATGAAGCTGACTTAACCATGTCTACTACATAGTGGGTTTGATTTGTTATCCCTAATGGTGCATGACTGAGTAACATATAAAACAAAAATGGGCAAAATTTAATATCCATTTATATCCATGGAATTCATTTAACATTTTTACACAAAGCCTTCAGCTGCTACCTAAGCATTTCATTTCACATAGTTTGCCTTTTCAACATACTGTGATGATGTAGGAAATGTTTTAATGTCCTAGTTAGCAAGTCAGATGTGAATTTCTCTTTATTTTCTTGTGTGATGTCATGTCTCATAATTATGTCAAATACATGAATGAAAATTATTAAAGTTTAAATCTTATATAATTGCTCAGCAGAAAATTTACTACAAGATGAATTTATAAAACTTAACTTATCACTTTCCATGAACAGCACAAAGTTTACCAAATACAGATGTTACAGTCAATAAATTTGGTTAATAAATATGGCAATTAATTTTAAGACTGATTGAAAACTTGAATACATTTTCAAAAAGTTAATTCTACATAGTAGTGATTTTTTTAAAAAAATGATTAATCTAAATTTTTTGCATATAAAAACAAGCCAAGCTTTAACAAAGAATCTGTATTAATAAAATAATAGAAAGAAAAGCAATGCTAGATGCTGACAAAAGTAAAAATGTGTAAGTACAATAGTCTTATCTTTATTCCTTTTGGAACAGAGTCCATATTTTATAGGTCCCTGTTCTCAGAGATATTCTTAGTTTCCAATGGAATTTTATGTCAACGGTTAGGTGACTCTGAACCTGATGCCAGGACCAGTTTCTGGGGTATAGCCCGTAGCTACGTGTCTGTTTCATTTATCACCTGGCTATTGTTTTACAGAGTATAGTAGTAACTAAATAATTCCATAATGTGGGAGACAGCTTTATTTTCTCCAAGAAATCTGTCTTTCTCTCTTATCCTATACTACCTCTATCATTATATCTATTACTCAATTATGTTATTTTTACCGTAGAATGATTTGTATGCACCATAAACTCCAATTTCAAGCTAAGTGCCCTGAGAAGTAACCAAACCATTAGAGTGTCCTAAATTAAAAAAAAAAAAAAAATTCAGGACACTGTTTTCAGATGATGAATGAAATGCTATTTGATACTATTTTAGGGTCAGGATTTATGACGTGCTTAGTATCTTCCAGAAATGACTGGGAGGGTGAGGCAACTTGCAGAATTCCCACAGCTGTGCACGTGAGCAGTTGGGATGCTCTTCAGTGGCGGGGATAGAGCTCAGGTGACCGAAGTCATTCACCAGAGTGTCTCTCAGGAGAGTGGTGGACACAAACTGGATGCTGGTCCTCAGAAAACAGAGTACATATGCCTAAGCAGGTGGAAAGACAGCCTCTTCTTTAAATTACAGTAACTTTTCTTTAAAAGATAAGATTCTTTTGGAGCCAGTGTAGAAAATGTATATTACAGACAGAAACTGTTACAACTGTCATTAATTTGTCAGGACTTTGTATCTCTAAAACTCCTATAAAGGATAGACTCCAAAGCCTCCCTTATCTATGCCAATTTCTGTCACATGATCCTGATAAATTTGCAACACGTTTTACAAGCACAGGCCAGGCTTTTATGTAGACTTCTCAGATAAGAGAAGCGAAAGAAAAAAAGTTTCAAAAAATCCCACCACAGTTCTGTTCACACACATAAAACTTCAGAAGAAAAACAAAATATTCATAAATTTAGTGCAAGGTAAAATAGAATAAAATTTTAAAAACATGGGTTTGCAATCTCTACCTCACAAGTTATCTAATATTGACATAATCTCATCCTTCTTCCAGTTCTCAGTGAAAGTGAAGCTCATGGTATCATGAAGAAGCACACAAATAACTATTCCCAGCCCAGCAAAGCCTTATTTTTCACCTGAGCTTTTCCATCGCCTGATTTATTATTTGCTAATTGTTGGTATGAAAATGGAATTTTTCAGATGGATCCATCATTTCCTCTTGTTCCACAGAAAGCTGTGTTCACATCATCTAAAGCAACAATTGCTGTTTCAGCTCAAGGCTCGGTTAACCTCAGACCTATTTCAGTAGTGATAGAAAGAAAACAGACACAAACAAGATGCTGGTTCTCCCTGGGTTTGACTCGGATCACACTCATTTTCTGTGACATGGCACCATGAGGCTCGTTGAGCACTGGTCTCCCAAGATATTCCTTATTGCATAAACCAAGGGAAAAATACTTCACGGAGATGAAAAGGAGAAGGGAAAAAACAAACAAGTGAACGAAAAACCCCTTTGACCTGACATTATGGAAGAAAAAATGAAAAAGCAAACAAACAAAAAAGGACACTAAAATGAAAAAAAAAATAGTGTCATGATTGACATGTGGGATTTGGATGGAATCTAGGGCTGTGTTTTAATTCAAAACTCACCATCTCAAAACCACTTCTTTTCATCCGCCTGCAGGACTTGAGGTAAGTACGTATGCGCTTTCTCGCACGCTCTTGGTACTCAGGGAATTGTCTCCTGCATGAGTCAATGATAGCCTGGATCTTTTCTTTGGGCTGCTTAGAGATTGGGACCATTCGGTCCAAGTTTTCATCTACAAACAGCCTGACAAACATCTGTTGGCAAGAGGGAGACAGAGGAGAAGGGTTTGGAGGGCTGCTGTCTTCTGTTCCTACTTCCTGTCTTGATTACCGATTGGAAAATATTCTTTTCTGCTTTATGCACTGGAGAACTTTGCAATGGGAAGTCAGAAATTTTAAGCAAACACCCTTTAAAGATTTTCTAAATGGTTGGATTTAAAAAATAGAGAGAGAAGAAGAGAGAGAAAAGCAGACAGACACACAGACAGAAAGGAATAGACTGTCATGTAGAAAAAAATCAGGAGGTAACAGTACACTGTGACAATTGAGCCTCCCAATTAAATTCTCTGTTAATGATAAATACGACTATTACATTGCTACACTACACGGTGGACTAATCTCTGAAAACAGACAACTGACTCTTTGTCATGCATAATTACATAAGCGAGAAAAGCAAAAGTAATAATTGAGTAACTAGTGAGGGACGGGTGTACTCATCCGAGAAATAAGCTGAACCCCTTTATCTACTATGTAAACATGCATACTCACACACCACCACTCCAGTTTCCAGATCACAGTTAGCTTTAAAAGTTCTAAACAAACCACTGCGATTTTGGTGTCTAGTTGGCAAAGAGTTTCATGTACTTTTTAAATCCTTCTGGAAATTAAGCAAACACAGCTCTGAAATAACCACCTCGACCGACAAGCAGCAGCACTCAGTGATAGAAGTGAAACTGTGCGGGGTGTGTGGCCAAACTCACATTAAAAGCTTTCAGCCTCTCTGCCTCCACGCCGTCTGTCTCGTTCACCTTCTCAGAATCATCATGGTCGTCATGGTCATCTTCATCCTCGTCCCCTCGGTTGAGTGACAGGTCCTCAGCGCCTCGGTCTACGCTCTCGTTTTTGCCAGAGTCATAGCTTGAGTAACTGTGTGCAGGAGACTGAAAAAAAAAGGGTGACATTGCTGCTTTTAAAGGCCTTACTCAAGCTTAGAAATTTTGTTTTTAGTTCCAACCATCCCTCACAAATCTTGTTTATAAATTTAAAACTCGAGAGCTGCAGCGATCACAATTTAAATCCAACATAATTCAAATGAAATTAAAAATTCATCTCCTCAGTCATACTGGTTACATTTCAAGGGCTCAGTAGCCATGTGGAATATTTCCATCAGTGCAGAAGGTTTTATTGAACTTAGCTGTGCAAGAGCAATTACTGTTTCTACTCAATATTTATATTCCTAAAGAAGAAGCAATCTGTAATTCATTTTACAAGAGAATCAGAGTCACATATTACTAGAAAGAGCTACAGCCTCAAAACTTACTCAGTCTAACTGTATTAATATTTTTTGAAAGACATAGAAAGAGAAGGAAATAAATATTTAATTTTGCAACATGAATTGTACAAAATATTAAAAATATTAAGGCTGTTAATTATAAAAATATTGAAATAAATTCATAAAATGTGAATCTTTGGGTCACATCTGATTTTGGTTTTAAAGAAAGAGAATTCTAGTTCTTCCTAAGTTTAACATATTTCTGTCCTAATACCATATTGAAGACATAAAAAATTTTAAATGAACAATAAAATGGAAAAATGTACCACAAAATTCAATGTAAAATCATTAAATATTGGAGAATTAAAGTAATTAAGCATTCTTTTCCATAAACAAATAATTGATGGACTTAAAGTTATGGTTGTTAGATATATTTGCACAGAGGTACAACCCAAATACATCATAAAGATATTTATTATATATCATTATACATTTGGCTCTGTACCACAGGATAATATTCACCCAACAATTATTTATTGGGCATCTATTATATATCACAAACTATTGTAAGCCTTTAATATATACACTATAGTACAAACCAGTTAAATAACTTTCCCAGTGTCAAAAAGCTAGCAATAAACCCACGATCTTTGGAGCCAAGTTTATTATCTTAACCCTATTCATCCTTGTTTCTGTAGAATAAATATCCATGAGGTACTCAATCAGAAATTAATTGATAAGACATCATATTTCTAGACACCAAAGCCAACACCACTATTTTGTTTTCTGTACTAGGGATGAAACCCATAATCTTGATATAAAGCTATATATATGTGGCCCTTTATTCTTTTTTATTTGAGACAAGTTCTCTAATTCACTAAGTTGCTCAGGCTGGGTTTGAACTTGCATTCCTCCTACCTCAGCATCCCAGGACACAGGGATTACAGGTGTGTGCCACTGTACCTAGAGAACGCCACATTTAAACATACAAGTACATTATACTTGGACATGAGACACATTAAACCCATGTCATCACTTAACTTCTATGAATTTGATTTGCAGATAGTAAGTCAATACAAAAATAAGTAAATCTCATAGGAGACATGTATTTTATAAGGGCTAGAGGCTATTTAGTAATGCTTTATATTCATACTGTGGATAAAGTTTACATAGAACTTTAATACCAACAAAACTGAAACTTCACAGTAGAATATCAACTCATTAATATATCTATATTATAAATGATTTAAATATGAATTTTAATAATTTTAATGACCATAAATAATGTTACATTTCTGGAGGTTAATTTTATGTGTCAATTTCATTAAGACCACAAAGTGCCTGGAAATTTGATCAAACAAGTGTATTTGTGAGGCTTCTGGATGAGATCAACATGTAAACAGTGAAATGGTCCTCACAGTGTGAGCTGAGCACCATCCAATAACTTGTCGATGACTACAGAACAAAAGGCAGAGGAGGAAAGAATATGCGCTCACTCTGCCTGATAGCTTGAGCTAGGTCCCATCGGGCTTATGCCATCTGCCTCCTTAGTTGTCAGGCCTTCAGACTCAAACTCACCCATTCCACATGCTTTTCTGGATATTCAGCTTGAATATGGAAGATCTTGAGAACCTTGACAAATCTAGTGTATTATATTATATCATCCACGTTGGAAATGGTTTAATTGAGGTTCAGCAAATTTAATTTAATAGACTAAAGTTAGACATGAAAAGAGTAATGGAGCATTTAAGTAGAGGATTTCATTCACTACTGGTAAGGTGGAATTATATGGAGTTTTGGAGTCCAGAGCCATAGGTGGAGAGAGAGAGAGAGAGAGAGAGAGAGAGAGAGAGAGAGAGAGAGAGAGAGAGAGAGACAGAGACACAGAGAGAGACAGAGACAGAGACAGACAGAGAGACAGACAGAGAGACAGACAGAGAGAATGTGAAGGTTAGGTTTTGGAATAAGGCAAAGGTAGCAAAAGTCGAAAGGGAAATGGGTAAAAGAAGCTGAATGCAAACAACAATTTACCAGCATAGATCTTTGTGTCTGAGGCCAACAGTGGCCTAGTGCTATCTCTAGCTTCTTCGTCAGTTCATGCCTTGCCCTCTAAGAAAGTTTCCACTCTGCTGATAAAACTGCCAATGTTATGGGTTCCATCTTTCCCTTCCCATGTGTACCTTGTATGTTTCAACTTTGTCCCTCAGTAAAAAGAGTTTGCCTGAGACTAAAACTAGCAGAGCTAAGAAAGATGGAGAAAACTTATATCTAACATTTTTGCATCCAGCCCCAACTGTTCCCATGGTGAAGCCCTGAACTACTCCTCTGTGTGCTGCTTCCACCCTCTCTGCCACCTGTTACTTTTTGCTTGCGTTTGACTTTCAATGACCTTTAATTAAGTCTGGAGAAGTATAGAAATCAATCATTACAAGGTCAGACAAATGGTACAGATTCCACACATGATATTTATAATATATAGATGGCCCCAGCCACATAGGTAATGGTATCTTTGTAACAAAGACAGCTACTCTCAAATCTATTGACAAAAAAATGATTTTGAATAATCTCTAAAGCAGAAAATTTTACATTGGCAGTATTCTTTTGGGTACTCTTCAGTAATAATATATGTACAGCATACTACAAAGATCACATAGAGTATTATGACAGCAATTGGAGGAGGTATGATAGTACTAGAATATATTAGCATGTTTTTATAGTTTAAATCACTAACAAGGTCAAATTACTTAATAAAATATAATAACAGTTCAGGAAGTTTGGAAATTCGCTCTTTATATATAAATATATTTATATTTAAAATAACAAGATGTAACATTTGAAAAATGTTATGATGCATTCATCTGAATGCAAATTTATTGGCCAATTCATTCTTTCTACACACCATTCAGGAGACATAAACTAACAGTGTACTACACGCTGAACCACTTGTAACCAGGGAGATTTATAGCACCAGTTCCTTGAGGCAAAGAAGGCTCAGCCTTGCAGCTCCAGGAATATTCAGGACCTGAGGTTAAAGCACGGTCAATGATTTCTTTCTTCACAATATAAACCAACCACACTTTTATTATTCTGAATTATATTTTTAGCTGGAATATCATGCCTTACCTTTATCACTGTTTAAGATCTAGTTATATTTTAAAACTAAAGATCTAATGACATTTTTAAACCAATCTGATTAAATTCACTGTGTGCAAAGGTTTCAAATTTTGTGTCAGTCTACTCCCATCTTTCCTTCAAGTTTGAACTCTTACTATGCTCCCTATGCAGATTAATTTACGTTTTCCTTTGCACTCTACTGAGGTAGGGTGACACGCTTCCCTCTAACTTTTCCCACTCAGCGTTTCAGATATGGCTCTCTCTAGAATGGCATCAAAGCTACTTATACTTTCCCTTTTTCTGGAAAATTGTTTGATTTTCCTAAAATAAGCAAATAGAGGCAGTTGAGTCATGTGATAGAGCCAGAGAAAACATCAATGGGTCCAATATAGCCCTTCTAAAAGGGAGAATCACCTTACTCGTTAGTCTAAGGTGTCTTGCTAAGGACGCTAGATGTCCATAGCCTTGGAAAATTTAAAGAGCAATTACTTTCTTATTCTGGAAATAAACCTAAGAAATTCAAATGAGATCTAAAACAATCAAAATATATTATGAAATCTCAGTTTAATGGAAGATGCCTACCTGCTTATTCACAAAGCACAGATGATGGTCTAAGGAAAGAAGGTTGGAGAATGGTACTAGTTATGTAATTCATCTGTTCCTCTTGTGATAGCATGTGGCTGTCTTTGCAAAGACCTTTCTAGAAACACATTTGCACTACAATTTTCTCAAATATTCCACTGTTACAGAATAAAATCCTCACTGGGATAAAGTTTTAGCTGTTTGTTTCCTCTGCAGTTAGAGCATAGGACAGCTCAGGCAATAACGCAGTGGTTGATGTGAGACACCTTGGAGGCAGGAACCCCTTTCAGACATATACAGCTGACAAAATAATGGGCATGACTTATTTCCTCATTGTACCCCATAGATGAAAAGAACACATAAATTCAGTTGCAGGCATCCCTGATTCTACAGTATCTACAGATATGCCATATCTCATTGATCCCAGGTATTTATTCTACTTGCAAACTTAGCATCCATAGAAGTGTGAGGACCACGCATTCTAATATGGCACAAAATGAAGCACATACCATCACTCAAGAATCTAGGTAACCAAAATCAAACCAAAGCAAAGCATAAACAAGAACTCAGTCAGGAAGCAGTGGCTCTCCAGGTATGCCTATTGGACCCGTTGTATCAGCATCTCCTGGGACCTTGTTTAAAAAGGAGACACTCAGCTCCCACCCCAGAGAACAATTGAATCAGAAATGGTGTTTCTGATCCCACAATCTGTACCCTGCTTGGGATTCTGCTGCACATTAAAGTTTGTGAACGATTCTTGTTGCGCTAACTTCTAAATGTAGGAAATATTTGAAACACAGGAAAAAGCTACACAACACCAGGGGAAATATGTAGGCAAATTCAAGAAAGGAAACATTCCATCAGATCACTGATCTTGGTTCTACAACAGGTTAATGACACAGAACAATAAAGATGTGTTAAGAAATTTACATAGAGCTGGGCGTGATAGCAAATGCCTATAATCCCAGCACT